CGGCGGCACTCCCGCCCGAGGGTTCGGATCCCACATACAGACCGGTTCCTGCTCACTGGCTGAGCGAGGCGCGGGAGCAACACCGAGGGTTGCAATCCCGTTGCCGGTCCCCAGTCCGGTATGGGGGCAACACTGAGGGTTGCGATCTGTTGCCGGACATGGAAAAAGACAAAAAGACAAAAAAAAAAAAAAATGGGGATAATAATGATGTCTACCTAATAGGGCTATTCCATGGATTACGTGAATCAATACAGGTAAAACATCTGAAACATCCCCTAGTACTACGTATTTGCCAAATTTTAGCTACTATAATTGTTAATCCATGTCCATTTCCCCTGCCCTGTCCTCTCATCAGGCCAGAATCTCCCCAGGGGACCTGGCCTTTACATCCAGGCACACAGGAGAGCACACAGATTTAGCCTCTAAAACGCCTGCCAGACAGTGGGACCCCAGGCCCTAAAGGCTCAAGATAAGTTGAGGAGTAAGAGGGACCCTGGCAGGAGGAGGAAATGTGCCCTCTATGGCCACACACCTTGGTCTGGTACCAGCTCTCGGCCTCGGCCCGGCTGCGGTTGGCCATCTCCTCATACTGGGCCTTGACGTCAGCAATAATGCCATCCAGGTCCAGGGAGCGACTGTTGTCCATGGACAGCACCACAGACGTGTCCGAGATCTGGGACTGCAGCTCCGTCAACTCCTATAGGGACAGACCAAAGGTCGGGGCTTGGGGCATGACCCATCACTGTGCTCATGACCACCCTGGGATTCCACACACAGGGAAACAGAAAAGAAAAGAAAGGCTGGGGTGGGCTGGGTCACCAGGCAGTGAGGGGCACAGACCCAGCACACAGCAAACAGTTCTTTCTGCCCACCCTTGGCTCCCAAAGAGCCCATTAAAGGAGTTAAAGAAAGTGACATGTTGTGAGCAGTAATGGAGGTGCCCTTGCGGCATGAGCTCTGTTGTGAATGGGGCTAACGGGGGATGGATGAAATAAACCATATTCCACCCTGTAATGGAATACTCTGCAGCCTGTAAACTGGTGATACGGCTGTGTTTGCTGACAGAGACGTACGTCCGTGGTATTCGTTGCATGAAAGAAGGTATAATTGTATTTTTATTACAAATAGATATTTTGGGCTGGCCAGTTAGCTCAGTTGGTTAGAGAGCTGTGTTATAGCACCAAGGTTTGGAGCCCTGTACCAGCCAGCCACCAAAAGAAACCCCAGATATTTCTATATTTCTGTGTGTATATATGCACAGAAAAGTCTGGAAATATAGATATGAAGATAGTAACAGTTGGTAAAAGTGATCTCTTTTCAATTTTATGATATACTTAATTTTTTAAATTTTTTGCAATGAGTATTTATTACTCTCACAATGAGAAAACAATTTTATATATGTATGTTATATATAAATGTATATATGTGTGTGCATATATGTAATAACATACACACATAAAATGTGTGCTAGACATAGGAAGACCTGAACTGAGATTACAAGGGCCCAAAGTGAGCCTCTAGGCCCCAGCCCCTGAAATGACTGCACATGAGGAAGTTGCCTTGAGGGGCTAATGAAGGCTGGATGTTCAGGCAAAGACCAGACTGAAGAGATCTGAGAAGTGGTCTGTAATTAGCCCCGAGTGCTAATTACACCCCAGTCCAGCCTCTGCCAGATGACTGGCCACCCTATCTTCTGCCTAAGGCCAGAGACTTACACTGATGAGAGTGAAGAAGTTCTTAAATCCCCATGAGGGAAAAGAACTGAAGCCCAGCAGGGCAAGGGGAGAGGGAAAGAATGAGATGAGAAGGTTGGACACAGTGGCCAGGTGGTGGGCGGCCACCCATTCAGTCCCTCTGGGTATTGACTCTCAGCACTCCAGTCTCTCCTGACTCAGGCTCCCCTGCCCGCCCCACCCAGCCCACCTTTGAACTCTGCCATAGCCTGGGATCCCTGACCTTCTCCCAGTTCCTTTCAGCCCCACCCAATTCCCCTTCCTGACAAATGCGATCATCCCATGTGTCTCCAAAGCCAGTCCTGATAGATCCCACCTGCTCTGCTACCCCCAGCTTCTCCCAAACCCCTAGTCCATCATGGATTCCTGAGTCCAGAAAGGATAAAGAGCAGGATAAATGCACCCATTTCCCAAGATACATCCAGAGGCTGGGGGCTGTACCAGATGGCTCCCTGGTTAGGACACATGAGACATGTCACCCACCCCTGAGGTCCTCACCGTCTCATTGAGGGTCTTGAGGAAGTTGATCTCATCATTCAGGGCATCCACCTTGGCCTCCAACTCCACCTTGTTCATGAAGGCAGCATCCACATCCTGGGCCGGGGAGGGCAGGTCACGAAACAGGGCAGAGGGACACCATGTCCTCAGTACAGGGAACATTTAGAAGGGATGGGACAAGCCAGTCCTATCCAACCCATAGGGCCAAACATTACTGCCCTAGAAAGAAACACAGTTTCTCCAGGCTGACATGAGCACAAAGAAGCTTCCTCCGCTGGCCTCCAGGCTGTGTGGTGAGCATCATCTCCACGCATCCCCAGGACCAGAATGGCTTCTCAGCACTGGGAGCTCACAGCAGCCTGAGGCCTCAGACCTAGCACTTGACCAGTTCCAATCTCTGGAGACCTAGTGACAAGCCTAGTCATTCACCAGACACACACACGCACACGCACGCGCGCGCACATACACACACGCACACACACACGCACACACGCGCGCACGCACACCAATCTCTGGAGACCTAGTGACAAGCCTAGTCATTCACCAGACACACACACGCACACGCACACGCGCGCACATACACACACGCACACACACACGCACATGCACGCGCGCACGCACGCACACACACACACACACAGGCTGTGCTGTAAGGGCCTGGCTCCCTGACATCTCCCTCTCCAAGCCCAGTTCTCCCCTCTTGTACAGCCCAGGCCAGACCTTGGCCACAGGTCCCCACTGGCTGCTCAGGTGAGAGAGCCCTGTGGTCCCCTGTCCCAAGTGTTTTCAGACAACCTGCCCCCCCCCGGCCTCTGCCCCCCTCACCTTCTTCAGTACCACAAACTCATTCTCAGCAGCCGTGCGGCGGTTAATTTCATCTTCATACCTGCCATAGAGGAGGGGCGTGGTGTCGGTGCAGCTTTGCCTCCATCCCCTCATATACAGGTGTGAAATCTGCCCTGCCTCCCCTTCACCCCCTCCTTAATGACACACCTGAAAAAACAGGTGTCAGAGCTACAAAACCAAATTTCCCTGACTTCCACATGGCTGTTCCAAGGGCTTTGAGTCTCAGCATGCGGGGGAGGCAGCAAGAAGGAAATGTGAATTAAAGGGACGAAGGCTGCATGCACTGGAGGAAAGAAAGCAAATAACAATAGCCATGCCTATGGCCTGCTTTCTATAGCGCCTGTGTGCTTCCCATGCACTAACTCATTTTATCCTCACTACAGCCCCATAGCGATGGTACTAGGATTGTCAGAGAAGGGAACAGAGGCACAGAGAGACAAATAATCTGCCCAAGTCACTAAGCCTGCTGAGTGGCAAAGCCCAAACTTGAACCCTGGCAGTTGACTCCTGAGCACATGCCTTATCCACCACCTAATGCCCCCCCTGAGGGATGAAGAAAGGGTCTGACAGAAAAAACCTTGTGGAATCAGGACAGGGGATAGTGGTAAGGCCCAGCCCCCATCCCATTCCCACAGCTCCCCCCACCCATCCCTCTTCCTCCCAAGGAGCCAGCCCCTGACCTCAGGAGGACCAGCAAACAGGGCACTGAGAAAGAGAGTGCACTGACCTAACCTAGTATTTATTTGGGGACTCAAAAAACGGTGTCAGAAACAAGAGCTCAGCTGTGCCCAAGAGCTGCTGGCAGCAGCGAAAGCAGCCTGGGGCAGCTCTGGTGGGAGCAGGATGCCCAGACAGGCTGAGCCCTCTGGGAGCCCAGACTGCCCTGGCGCTGAGCTGCTAGACCCAGAGGTGCACAGACTGGAGCTCCCTGTGCCCCCTTCCAGCTCCTCTTTCAGCCCCAGCCTGCAGCTCAGCCTGGCTCCACAGGAAGGTGCCCTAAGGGTTTTATCAGGGTTGAGGGGAGGATGTGGGGAGGAAGGGGGCACACACATGCACGCACACACGTGTAAATCCCTAACAAAAAGGGTTGGTTGTGGCCCCAGGCCCTCCCCACCCTGCACCTGTCTGGATCCACCTGCTGTGGGATTAATTCTGTTGACTTTTGCCTAAGGGAAGTGGGAGGGGGCACACTGCACAGAGGCCTTTGTGCCCTGCTCCAGTCTGAGCCGGGTGCCTGCTACTGCTTAGTCATACCATCCCAGGCAGAGGATGGCACTTACTCGCTGCCCCCAGTGCCCACTGGGCAGGTGTGCCAGGGTGAGGCCCAGCCCAAGCTTCAGGCCGTACTTTCCAGTCAATGAGAAAAGAGCATCTCAGAGGCCTGTCCTCAAAACCCCAGTCTCCTGGTCTCCTCCTCACAGTCTCCTTTCTGGCTCCTGCCCTGACCCACCCCCACCCCCCTCGGCCTCAGCAACCCCTCCCATTGCTCATGGTGATCATTCCCCTTCCATGTCCCCTCCTGGGAGTCAAAGACCCAACATTTAAGTCCCAGCTCTCCCAAAGACCTGCTATATGATCTCGACCAAGTTCCTGAATCTATCTAGTCTCTAATTCCTCCCCTGAACAAAAGGAAGTTGTTCTAAAATATCAGTGAGGGTACACAAGTCCTAAAGCACCCCCCAAATAGGACACCTTCTGCTCTACCCTCTCAGGGACCTGGTCAGGCACCCAAAGGGAACCATGCAGGTCAGGGCTGGACTGAGCTATCTCACTAGGACTAAGGCAGAATGAGTTGGAAACAGTCCCAGGGACAAAGAGGGGAGAGAAGAGGCAGGGAATGTGTTAGTAAAGACTGTCCCTTCGGAAAGTTACTGTACTGAGCAGCTGCACACCCTGACCCTTAAACCAGGGGGACAAGCAGAGGGTCAGCTGATGAGGGGCACACTGGCCTGGAGAGGGATCCTCGCAGGTCGCAGGGGAGTATTACTTATTCTTGAAGTCTTCCACAATATCCTGCATGCTCTGCAGCTCCGCCTCCAGGCGGCCCCCATCCACCTGCAGTGCCTCGAGCTGCCCCCGCAGGCCAGCAATCTGCACCTCAAAGAGGCCTGGCAGGCGGCTGCTCTTGGCTGACTTCTGCTCTTGCAGCAGTGACCACTTGGTCTCCAGCAGCTTGTTCTGCTGCTCCAGAAACCGCACCTAGAAGGGACAAGAGGAAAACATGAGGGGCCCAACGGGATTGAGGAGGGTATCGAGCCACCCAGCAAAGCTCATGTCCCCACTGGTTGTTCCCCTGACTGGGCCCCAGCCCTTTTCCCTCTCCTCTAGAAATCTGTCTTGAGTGTCTCAGAGTGTGATCCAGGGAGCAGATCTACCTGGTTCACTGATAAATCCGGTGGCTGACTCTCAACAAATGTGCTTTGGAGTCTCCTCCCTCCTTTGCTCCCTATTGTGTGATCTTCTCTGCCTCCCTCTCAGAAGGACCTACCCCCTTCCTGTCTCTGGGTCCTGGGGCTGACCAGCCCGGCCCCTCCCTTCAGGCTGGGACCTCTGCTCTTCCTTCCTCACTATCCTCTCTCTCCTTCCCCTTTCCTCCAGCAAGGCCTCAGGACAGGGCACTACAACCAATCCAATGCAAAATGAGTACCTACTACATGCCCAGCCCTGGGACCCAAAAAGGCCCTTAAGGAGCACCTACTTTGACTGGGGGTGGGAGGCAAGAGAAGCCTCCTCAAAAGCAGCAACTCAAAGCACAAGGACTTGGGGGCTGCAGACAAATCAGAAAGTGAAGCTCAACAGAAGGGGGGGAACCTGGGCCTGGGGCTACCTGGGGAGGCTTCAGCAGAACCTGAAGGATGTGTAGGACTAACAGTAAAGGAAAGGAAGACATGGGGCGGGGGAAGTAGGGAGGTACACAAAGGCAGGAGAGGAAAAACGTGGTCTAAGCCCAAGGGAGGGGCCCTGGCCAGGACCATCCCCCAGTTCCTGGGTCCCACCCACTTGTCCCCCACTCTTTCCAGACCCACTGGTCAAGTCTGCCCTGCTCCTTCCGGGAGGGACCCTTGTGTGACAGGAGCAGACAGCCAGGAAAAACACTTCCCACTGGCCCCTTCCCAGGATCCTCACTGCCACTCCCTGCCCTCACCCGGGCTACCTCCGAGATTACACCTCACCTCCTACCACCACAGGGAGACTGGAGGGGAGCGAGGGGGTCAGCCTCACTCGCCTTGCAGCCCTTTGCTTCCAGCAAGCTTCAACATCTACAGCATGTGGGAGAGCTGGGTTCTCTGCAGCTGGGAAGGGCGTGTCACCCCCTACCTCGCCCCTGAACTCCACACAGTCCCCTCTCAGAGAAATGGCCCAGAGAGAGAACTGCTGGCCTTGGCCTCTGGAGCTCCCAGACTGATTCGGGTGACAAAACTGGCCCAAGGGCCCCAGCGGACTCTGGACACAGCCAGCCAGGGCAGCCATACAGAACCTGGGTACACATTGCTGGACGACAGGGAGGGGGACTTGGAGCAGCTTGCTGGAAGAGAGGGGTACAGAACAGCAGCAGGGTTAATGGGGGGACGGGAAGGCCACCGAGACAGCGTTGCCCAATTGTGGCAGAAAGAGGGAGGGGCGCCAGTCCTGCCGCGGTGGCCTGCGTGCGGGAGGGCTAGTTAAGGCGCTGGTGTGGCCTGGAGCGCGGCTGGAGGCGAGATCGAGTCCGCTCACCTTGTCGATGAAGGAAGCGAACTTGTTGTTGAGGGTCTTGATCTGCTCGTGCTCCTCCTGGCGCACCTGCTGGATGGAGGGGTCGATGTCCACCCGCAGCGGGGCCAGCAGGCTCTGATTGACGGTGACCTCGCGGATGCCGGCGCCCACGGGGCCCGCATAGGCGGAGCGCACGGCCACGCGCGGCCGCGGGGCGTAATAACTTCGTATAGCATACATTATA